ACACAGCAAGGAAGAAGAAAAAACAGGTGTGCAGAAACTTCAAATGGGGTCGACTCCGCTGGTGCCAGGAGGCAATACTAAAGTGAAGAATGGTTCCCCCTCTAAGCCCTCTAGAGGCAGAACTAGATTCAGGTCACAACCCTCTCTCCACACTCCTTCACAAGATGATTAATTTTATATTTTGGAATATCAGGGGAATTGCTCATCCCCTCTTCGTTAGAAGAATTTTATATTTAAAAAAAATATAAACTCTGGTGCATTGCTATCTTTGAACCCATGGTTCATAAATATCCACAAAAACTCATCAATAAGTTTTTTGGTTTTTCACATTATGCTAATAATAACAAATTTGGATTTTCTGTAGAAAGGAGATCTCTTGGAATATTCAGGTGGATCATTAACAATTTGTACACTTCTCTTTTCAGATCAATGGACATTTAGGATATGCTTCCTTTGTTTATGCAGGATGCAACAAAGATGACAAAAAAACTTTGATCCTGCCTCCAAAATATCAGTGAACATATGCAATCCCCATGGTTGGTAGGGGGATTTCAATTGTATTACTTCTTCTACTGAGAAATCTGGGGGCAAGGTCCCCAATCTCTCCAAAATGACTCAACTTAGTGACAATATTCAAAGGGTAGGGTTGTTTGATCTGGGCTTCAAGGGACCTGCTTTTACCTTGAAGAGGGGACATCTTTGGGAAAAACTGGATAGGATTCTGGTGAATGATCATGGTATTCGCATTTCCTACTTACCTTTGTGACTCATCTTAGCCTTGCTGGCTCAGATCACACCACTGTTGATTTCAATCACTTTTTCCCTTCCAGATATCTCAAGATGTGGTTCATTCAAGCACTGTCTCCACTCATTGGTATGGTGTCACACACTTTGAACTTATGGTCAAACTAGCCTACTGCAGATAAAGGTTGGCAAAGCCCTTAAGAAGTGGGGCTGGGATTCCTTTGGGAATGTTCTCACTGTTGTGATTACTGCTGAGAAAGAAGTTGAGCAATTAGAACTGGAAGTTCAAAATGGATCTGCATAGAATAATCTTCTTACAGCCATAGAAAATCAAGTTGTTTTTAAAACAGAATGCTTCAATTAATATCTTTACTGAAGGGGACAAAAATACTAAGCTCTATCATGCCAAAATCAGATATCCAGAAAAATTGGTAGCATTTTAGGCATATTTGCTTTACTTCTGTGATAAGTAAAATCATTAGTAAAGTTATTGTGAGCATAATTCAGCCTCATTTTGACAAACTGATCTGTCCCAATCAGGCTGCCAAACTGATCTGTCCCAATCAGGCTGCCTTTGTCAAGAGGAGTTCCATTACTGGCATTGTACTACTTGTACAGGAATTGCTATTGGATTTGGATAAGCCGTGTAGGGGAGGTAATCTTATATACAAACTGGATATCAAAAAGGCATATGATACTATAAGTTGGTACTTTATCCTGGAAATTTTTTTTTGCCAGATGCTTTCAATCTAATTTTTACCCTCATTCATAGATGGTTATTGAATAATGTGCACTCTATTCTTATTAATGGGCAAGCTAGGGGGGTCATTTACTGCTACTAGAGGGCTGAAGCAAGGAGTTACTCTAGATACCAGCACAGATCTTTCACCTACTGTTTTTATACTTGCCATAGACTATCTTTCTAGAATACTCAATAAGAATCTCTTATCTCAGAGTTACTCTAGATACCAACACAGATCTAAAATGGCTATTTCACATCTACTGTATGCTGGTGAAATTATGGTATTTTCTAGTGCTCAAAAGATTGTTGTTAAAAAAGTGTAGCAGTGCCTCCATTTGTTTCAGTCCCACTCAGGAATGCTCTTCAATTCTGAAAAGTGCCAACTGATTTTCAATAAAAGAATTTCCTCCAATTGTAAGCAGTGGGCATCAAATTACACTGGGTTATTCTGCTTTCAACTCCCCATTAAATACCTTGGAGTCCTTCTCATTACTGGAAGATCCAAGCAGATTCAGTTTGATGAGGTTCTCAACAAAATCACCTCCTATCTTTTCTGTTGGACTCAGTCTTTCCTATCCAATGGGGGTAGAAATACATTGTTAAAGAGTATTCTCACAACCTTTCCTTCATGAAGAAAAGCACTCAAATACAATTGGAAAGGGCTTTTAACAATTTTTTGTGGTATGGTTAAAGACAGCAACTTCACTGGGCTTCTTGGCAAAAGGTAGCTAAACCCACTTTGGCTCGAGGTATTGGGTTCAAAGGGCTTAAACATCTCCTTCAAGTCAATCTGTGTAAGATTTGGATTAAATTCAGAGCCCAATCCTCTCTGTGGGCAAAATTTATGCTGGGGAAATATTGCAAAGATCAACATCCTTCTCTTACTGTTAGAAAATAGGGTGATTCCAAAATGTGGGTTAGTATGCTCAAAGTCAGACATATTGCAGAAGAGCTTTTCCTTTGGGACTTGGGAAATGGGGAGGTTAATTTTTGGCTGGACCATCGGTGTCCTAAGGAGTGGTTGACACCTTGTTCTGATTACTCTAACCCACAGCTTAAAGTGGCTGATTGTTGGGAGGGTAATAATGTGTCCCTCTCTAAACTTTCTACCCTACTCCAGAAGTTTTCTACCACACATCTCTCAAAATTACAATTTGACAGTAGACAAGAAAAAATCATTTGGCAAGCCTATATGACCAAAGGAAAATATGTTGAGATTTTAATACATATTTTACACTATTTTTGATTATATTGCACTTTAAAGAAATGTATTTTTTATGTTTTGTTGCAGGAATAATGAATTAGGGTCATTGGAGCAAAAAGATGCAAAAAAAAGAGCGAATTTAGAGAAAAAAGGCCCGCCGACAGTGAGCCCAACGGCGTGCGAGAATTTCCCGATAATCCAGATTTAATGATTTATAAATCCCGCTGATGGCGCCCTCGAGGCCGCCGACGGTGAGATCGGTGGTTATGTCCAACAATGCATTGGATGAGGACGAATTTTGGAGGGGTGCTTAGGCAACTCTTGGGAAAACCCATCCACAACTTTAAAAGAAGATTTTGGCCAAAAATTGGAGGGGGAAGAGTGGTGTTAAGTGTAGAGAGTTTAGTAAGTCTAATTGTGAGAAATTCTTCGAGAGATTGTAAGAGTGGAGGGAAAGTGAGAGATTTCTTCTTCTTTGCCGCTTCGAAGAGCAATTTTGCGTGTTGTAAAGAAAGGAAGAGATTCAGAGGAACTTTGAGGAGTTTGCTTGGGGAGAAATTAGAGATAAGTGTTATTTACTTGTTGTAGTTTGTATGACTTTGCTTGTATATATGAATTCTGAGTTTTGTTGTGTTTTCCCCATGAGATCTGAGTAGTTTTCTCTGTCTTTCTTCTTGTCTTGAGATTTGTGAAATGGTGATTTGAATTGGTTGAGCCATGAAAATGTTAAAGAAATTGTGATGATCTTTTCACTCCGATCTTAATTGATTTGTTAAAGTATGTTGAGTTTTACAACTAAATTGAAAAATACATCCAAAATTTAGGGAGGTCAAAGCCCATGGAAGTTAGGTGCAAATAAATAGAGAAATAAAATTATCGGGGGTAGAATTGGAGATTTTAGAGTGACAGACTAAAATCCTCGACTCGGTCATATCGTTTGGGTGTTGAAGTGTAGATGTTAGCCCTCAGGCGAGGGGAACGTGGGAGCTCCGAAATGAGAGCCGGTATCCTCCCAGTCTAGCCGCAGATTTAGTAAACAAGCATAGGATTAGTCAATGTTTTTTATGTTTGGATCAAAAGGTAAAGAATAGATATGCTCTTATTTGGCACAATACACAATACATCTTCTTTGATTGGTAAAGTGTATTGGAGACTTCCTGAGCCTTTTACAATCAAAGTGAACACTGATGGGAGCTTCTCAGACCTTGGTGTTGGCGTGGTCTATAGGAAGCATTCAGGACTGTCTCTTATTCTTTCATGCCCCTGTAATTGCTACTGATGCACTTGAAGCTGAACTCATAGCTGTCTATTGGGTTATGAATCTTGCTGTTAAGGCTAATTGGTCACACCTGTTGGTTGAGGTGGACTCCACTGTGTATGAGGAGCAGTCAACATGGCATCATACACACTGGGTTCAGAAGATCAGATTACTTAGCTCACAACTCAATGTTCATTACACTTTCAACTATAGGGAAGGTAACAAGCCTGCAAATTGGCTTGCTAGAATTGGATTATGCTCTAATTCCATTCCTTCCCTCCCCCTCCTTTTTCTGCTTTTTGGGGACCTTCTTCATATCATTTTAGAATTGTAAGTTGATCTTTTTAACAGAAGACCTTTTTTTTAATATATATATATATATATATGTATGTATGTATGTATGTATGTATGTATATGTATGCAAATATGTGTGCATGCGTGCATTTGCGCACATGAATTGAGAGAGCCAAGAACTCCATAGCTGCTCAATGCTTTCTATGTATTAATAGAATAAGTAACTAATAGAAAAATTAACTAATAACTATTAATATTTTTTTATATTTACATTTATATTTCAAATATATAAAAAAATTTGAAATGAATGTCGAACTTTATAAAAAGACATCTAATCACTTTCAGGATGTGCGAAAAATGTAATATAAATTTAGGATAAATTTTCTATTTATAGCCTCCCTCATCATGTAACCAGCTCATTTGGCTTATTCCCACATCTCTTTCTCTCTTCAGTAACTGTTTACTTTGTACTCCCCGTTATCATCTAGACTCCATGAGTCTTTTTTTGTCAACAAGTGGAAATATCAACTTCTGTTGAGTACATTTTGTTGTTGGAGATCATACTTATTATCTGGTATTATTTCTATTTTTCACCTTGAGAAGAAGCTTAGCTGCCTCAAGTAATTGGCGTCACAGCTGTTTGTGTGCATCTGCACTCTTTTTTGTTATTATCATTTTACATGAGTATAACCGCTTATGTGCTATAGAAAATCTCTGCAAAATCTTTACATCATTTCTCCCATGATTTTTCACTGTAGGCGAAGCAAATATACAAGTTTTAGGTCAAGATTGTTTTGTTGGAGATCTCCAATTTTATCCCCGAGGTATTTACCTTTCTTCACATGTGCATTCGATCCCATTTATGATTTTTTTTAATTCATATGGTCGAATCGTCAGAGGAAGGAAATGTGAAGGTAGTGCATGTGTGTGTGTGTGGATCTCAAAAAATGATATCACCTTAGTTCATGCTCTTTGACATCTTTCATGCATCAGTAGATGCAATTACCTACGATATTAATATTCTGAAATTTTGTTGCAGGTTAAATGGTGGCAAGTAGAGTTTTTTTCTCATCAAATTTTTAAACCATAATTTCTATAGCAAATATGCACATTGCTTTGCATGGTCTGATTTGATCAATTTTATGGGTGGAATTCTATTCTGACGTTCATGATTTTAGTGATTGATTGTCTGGGTAAGAAGATATGCTATGGTGATGTAAAGTGGGTGATCAGCTCTAAACAGACATTGTTGATTGGATGAAATTTGGAGTAGCAAAGAGCTTGTCATGCATTGTAATGATGAAAAATTTACCTTCGATAATATTTTGGATTTGGTAGTTTTATAATGTTTATTGTTGCTGTATGTATGTTTTGATATTATGCTTATTGAGGCTCTTATTTTTTTCTCCCAATTAAAAAATGTGAAACATACACATGTGCCTAACTTGACATGTGTCCTTGATAACGTTTTAAATATTGAATTCTTAATTAGATTTCCCTAGTTTAATTTTCTGCAGTTGCTTCCCATCGTGCTCATGTTTTTGGCTATTACAATACACTTTCACTTTTAAAAATATGTGAAATATCATATTGTGATAAAAGTATGCTGGTATCGTATATTTTAATAAAATGTCATATTATGTCTGTACCCTTATATATAATATTTGATATCTAATATCCTACATTCATTTTTTTTTTTTTTTGTTGTTGGCTAGTTTTTTTTTTTCCAGTTTGTTTGGAAATATTTTTTATAGTTTATTCTTAATTGTTTTTTAAAACTCAATTTTTATTTTTTTGTTTTAATATATTTTTATTTTAATAATTAAATCAATTCATTTTAAAAGTAATCAAGAATCTTATATTTTAATGTTTTTAGAAATTAATACCATAACCATCAGTTGTTCTTAGGGTTTTAAAAGTGCAGTGCTTGAGAGGCTTAGCTCGTGTTTAAAATTGTTCGGGAACAGTGTGCGTTTGGCTTAATTTTGGTCTTATTCTTGTTGATTTGCTCGATTAAATTAATTAGAAAGATGTAAAAGCTGGATTTGATCTATCATTACTATATCATGAAAGGCATTATCAAATAACCGCATGAGTTATGGTTATCTAAGCTTTGATATAATTATATGAATAATAAATACAACTTTTTTTTTTTAAAGTTTGAGCTAAAATGAATAAAACAAATGGGTTAATTCTATTCGGGTTGTTTATGGTTAGAACTTAAAAATTTTATTTGTGGCTCGTTTTCTTGATAATCTGAATGCGACTGCTTGCGAACGCTGAGCTTTATTTTTGTAGTCCCATTCGACTATTAATTTTTGTCATTAGGAGTTGTGGCCCCGTCATTCTGGTTGTTGATAAATGCTATTGATTGCTGGCTAATATTTGTGAACGTTGTCTACGTTTAGTTGGTGATCATTTTAATCATTTATGCAATTTAATTTACTCCTTAGTTATTGAAAAAAATGTATTTTGTAATTTTAAATTAAGGGCTTTTACATGCATGCCACACAATTTTTATGTATTTTTTTTATCTAACATTTAAATTTATTGTCTTATGTTTATGTTGCTCATATCATATAAGAAAATCACTATTTTTTACTTGAAATAAAAACTAAAATACACTTTTTAATTTATTGTATGTTGAATTTCGAGGAGATCAAATGGTCGGGTATAGGAAGCATGCGGGTGATGTTCCGACTAAAGAATATAATTTTCACCATCGAACAGTTGATTGACTATAAAGCAGAATTCGTTGATAAAATGTTTCGACCAACGAAAACTTTTGACTGACTGATCCAACGAATAAGACAACGCAATCGCATTTCAATCAAATTACAAATCTCTCCGAGAAACCTGTTGTCATGACCCAGCCCGATGCTTAGAATTAACTAAGGCGGGTATGAATGGTCGGTTGATGAAAATCAATCCTCTCATATTCTTATTCTATCTTCACTAGTTTAACATTCAAACATTCATGAAGGAGCCACTAAAAAAAACAATAAGAAAATTTTGTACCTTTTTGTTTGTTATTTTTTTCTCTTGTATACATTATCTCCTCTTCTATTTATCTTAATCAAATATTTATACCTGAAAAAGATGTTAAAACAACATGAGTTATCTAAAGATAACTTTGGAATAATTACAGTTATAAATTATAGTAATCCAAGGAAAATAAATCAATTTATATGATTGTCTTTTATATCTTTATATAAAAAAAAAATTATTATACTAATCTTTCATATCAGTTCTTTGAATATACTAAAGCATAAATCAATATTTTTTTCTAAATGAAAATACTCTAATTTTTTGTATGCATTAGCTTTAACTTGACTTTTAGTCTATATCCCTTACATACTCATCAGTCTGCTTTGAGGATCATTGTCAAAATAACCTAACACAGTCGTAGTCGATATTGCCTCGTCGGCTTCTATCGGCACAGCGGTTAGTGATGTAAACATCACAATTGTCTAGGGTGACTGATATTATCCCATCGGCAGAACCGTTAATGAACTAACTATCATAATTGTCTGGGGTGGTGAGCTCTGTCTGCTCGCTTTTGACTGATATTATTTTGTCATCATAGTAGTTAGTGAATTAACTATCGCAGTTGTCTGGAGTGGTAGAAAAACTCCACCTACGCGAGTACACTAGCGTCTCCTGCCTGTATCCTTAAAGGGGTGAACTTCTCTGAACATGCAAATACAAGCATTCATATAAAATTTATTTCATTCTTTCATATCATGCATTATATTCAATGAAAAAATCACCACTATCTGCTGATAAATAATGCAAACATAATATATCTATAAGTGATGAAATCAACCAACATGTGCGCACTTACTAAATTTCTAGATGTTAAATAATAATGTGATGTATATGTGATCATGCAATAAGCAAATATGTATATCCTTACTAAAGTCATATACTGCATTGATATCATCATAAACTAAACTATTATGCAACTATATTTAATATGCAAACCTATCCTGTCCGACAATATGAAGAATGTATTACTAAACCAGGGAATATATGAAATCAAACATGCAATTTGAAAAAGAAATAATTACTGCAATTCACAAATAGAATTACTACCCGCTATTAATATGAGACATCTTTTTTTTAACTTAATTCTCCACTTAACTTGCTTGCTAGTCTCCTTGACCTTAAATAACATAATTTCATATCAACAAAATCAATATATATCATTTAATGTTTTTAAAATTCTTATAAACAAATTTAACACAAAATTTTACGATAACTCGTAACTTGGTGTTTCAATAGGCTTAGACCCTCCATTTCATGTCAATGATTCTTCCTTTTATCTCGCACAGAAGTTTGCATCACCTTAGTCCTACAATTTCAAGACTTTAACAGCTTCAATTCTAATATTAAATACACTTAAATTATATATATATATATATA